TGCCAACCTGCGCCGCGGGGGACGGTGCTGCGGGGCGGCGAGGCGGGGAAAGCGCCTTCCTCCTCCGCGCTCTGCCCGGGACACGATCCGCCCCGGAGGAGCCGCATGGAAATGGGGGAATTTTTACCCCCGTGCTTGGGAGCGGGTATAGAGGGTACCGGGGGGAGCGGTCCAGCAAAACCGGCTCTGGTTTTGTTTTGGTTTTCAATGAAATCCAATTCATAAATTGGACATGCTCGGCCTCAGAAGACTAATTCATCCGCTAAAACAAACGCATCAGTGATTGCAGGCACCCAAACGTGACAAGCTTCTCAATATGCCAGGGATCCAGAGAAAACAAATTCATTCAGGAGCCCGAACCGTAATTAAAACTACTGCCAAGAAGAAGAGTTGAGAGCAGGATGTTACCAAGATCATTAAGCCGCCGAGGGGCTGAGGCCCGGCCTGCAGTGGCGATACGTGCAGATAATGTCAGCGCTTGCACAGGACGAGGTCGCCGCTTGCGAGCCCCGGCCCCGGGCTGCGGGGCAGCAGGGGGTCCTGCCCCCTCCCCGCCGCAGCCGTCCCACAGCTGCGCAGGAGGCCGCTGCTCCCCTGCGCCCGCCCCCGCAGACCCCTCGCCCCCTTCTTTACCCAAGCAACGGCACCCCCGCTCAGCAAACCTTTTACAAGCAGCGCCTTGTACCGGCGCTGCTCAATTCTCCATATACCTAGGATTATTCGCTTGCAAGAGAGATTGCTGCAGTGCATTTATTTAATAGAGAAAGCATTTTTTTTTTTTCATGCAGAAGACGGCACAGCAAAAACGCTTAATACTACGGACTAGCAGATAGAGAGGAGCTCTACAGTGCAGGGGGAGGCAAGGGGAGGGAACACACGTATGGACCAAGCAGAGCCAAAGAGCAGGAAGCTGGAATTGAAGTGATAGCAACAAGAATCCCTGTTGATCTACAGGCATCCACAGCTTCCTATTCAGAGGTAAGTACAAAACCACAGCTTTTGAACAGGGAAAAGCAGGGAGTAAATAAAACAAGATATACTTTTGAAAATAAATCACTTGTTAACTACTTTTACTTCAGTTCTCGTTTTAAATATGCAGTTTCACATTGATCAATGCAGAATGATTAAATACCATACTCCCTATTTCATGCAACAAAAATACTTAATTCAGGTAATTGGCTTCTGGGACAAAGATCAATAAAAATGTTCCTTATTTGACTACGTTAGCAAGTCAAAATTAATTCTAATTTACATTCATTTCCAATCAATATGGACTTAATGGCTTACATAGGCTCTTTAAAAAGTTAAGCACCTATATTGACCACACTCATATATATGACAATAACAAGCACATGTTTGGGAATTACAGTGCCACGGAACCAGTCTCTGACTTCCATAGGGGAAAGGAAGATGAAATTTGTTTGTGTTTGAGAGGCACTTCAGGATCCTAGCCAGAAACTTCTAGAAATGTACAGCTCTTATCCCAGCGTTGGAGAGAGCATCCCAAGATCAGGCAGTTCATCTCCAAGCCCTTGAGAGTAGCCTTGCTGCCTTGCAGGTTTGCACAGCGAGATCTTGCCCTCAGCTCAGACACCTCAGGCTGTTGTAATAATTACAAAATACTAATGCTAAACATGAAAACCCCGAAATGCAGTGAATACAGCAAGCAACAGAATTTCCTGAGAAATTCAGAAGCAAATAATTTACACATAGAAAATAATCCAATCACAGCCAAAAGAAGAAGGGAGAAAGCACAGAAGCCCCAAGCACCACAAAATAGGAAACAGAGGCCAAAGCCGGAGAGGGGGCGGGAGGGAATGTTTGTCACAGCCCATGGACATTAGGACACAAGGAGAATGCCCAGAAGAAATCCCAAATGCCATCAAACCAGATTTCTAACTTGCAAAGCACAATGATCCACAGCAGCAAGGCAACAGAAGCAGGGCTCCTCTTGACCCCAAAAACCAAGCTGTGTGGAGCTGCCCACGCTTCAGCACGTCTCCTTTTCCTTGCTCTACTTTGCGGACTGCAAGGAAGTGTCAGAAGAGGAAAGAAAACAAAGCCCCAAGCCACAGCCAGTCATGTCCTTGAGTGCCGTTAAAGCCCCAAGAGGATGCAGTCATCCAGCTGCGTATCAGAGGGCTGAATCAAGGTCTCCAGACTCTCCAAACATTTAACAGCCCTGCACAAAACCACCCAGTTAACGAGAGAAGCAGGAATCTATAACAATGGCCAAAGAGCAGGGCTGCAGCTTCAATTCCAACCCTGCAAGATGGAGAGTGCTGCAGCATCAAAACTTCAATGCCTTTGGTTTTAAATTCGATTTAAGTCAGACTTTTGAAACTATTGCCTTGCGCATACACATAAAAAAAAGGGCGCTCTGACTTGCATTACGCTTTCCACAATGCTGTTTCATTAAAAGAAAAAAAAAAACAACTGCCCTGCCTCCTTTGCCTAATACTTCCCTCCTTCCAAAAAAAGCCATTTAAGTTGAATTTTCCAAGCACAGAATAAATACGGGCATTCATTTCAGATTTGCCATTCCTGAAGTGCAACTGGAAGAATACTGGCATTTGGTGGAAGGTTTAGACGTTGTTTAGACGCAGCAGTCAGCACTAAAAGGCTAATCTATTTGCCAGCATTTGGCATATTAAAACAGTACAACTTGCCCCAATAGTCTATCATCACTGCGTAGGGGCCATTACACATTACCACGTAAGGTAGCATGGGATTTGCAGTGTGAGTGGAACAAAGGGTTATCTCAAGCAACAGTCACTATTCAAAGTTCAATTCCTTGGCAACAGAGAAAATTCTATGCACATCTCTAACAGCTCTACTACCTTTGCAAACCACGGTGGTGATTTAAGCTAACTCATCATGAGATATTGCAGAGCTTATTTCTGTTGTCAGAGTGAACATGGAACGAAGTCTGCACCAAAAGGCTTCTGCAGCTGCTCCAACACGATTGGACTGAAGCTACATTGCAGGTACAGCTGTCCCCAGCTGAGAGGCCAGAAAAGGCCCACAAGAGCCTGGTTCCAGGGCGCTCTCCCTCTCTGCTGCCACCGTCAGTACAAAATGCTTCTTGGAAACAACATCACAAGTGCAGCTGCCTGGGTCCGGGGACCCCTGATGTCTACTGGGCATATATACACAGCATGGTAAATTGCTTCACAAGTAAGCACGAGCAAGGACAGCACCCTGGGACAAGTGGAGTAGCACAGCCCCAGAAAGCTCAAAATAAATGGAGTGCCTGCAAGTTTCACCTCTCTCTCCTCTCCTAACTTCCACCCATTTACTGTAGCTAGGTTAAGGCTTCCATACATCAAAACTGGGACAATGCTAAGTGCATAAAACAGAGGGAAGAGCACTGGGTGGAATCGCTGCATGTAGTCTACTAAGTGGAAGAACAGAAAAAGACTCACAATCTGGATAATCTAGATATGGGGAAATAACATGCTTTAAAGCTGCCCCTAGAGTTTTTTCAAGAATCTTTTCACTTAGTAGGTGAAGGAAAGTGCAGAGAAAAATCTCCAGTCCCTCTGACAGCACAAATACATCATGGCCCAATGCTTTGAAGACGGTCCCTAAAACATGCATGTAGACCTATGTGTATACACAGATGCATCCTAGAAACTATTACAATTCCCTTTGAAAGAAATTGGAACAACACCTCTACGGTTACATTCTATCAGTTACTACCATGTATGGGTCTAAAGATGCAGCAAGTACCTCCAATTTTTAGCTGCTGCTCACTTTCTGGGGAGTTCACTGTAAAAATTGTCACAGAAAAAATTTCACAAAAAAAAAATCAGATTCTACACACTATATTTCACATTTCCCTCCTTCCCAAATGATCAACAGAAGGCCTACAGTTACCACAAAAATTGAGTTTCATCACACTTTGGAACAAGAAATTTAATAGTTCTTCTGTTTGGAAATAGTAATGCAAAAACTCAGACCTACTATATATCCTTAAGGTTGGGGATTTTTGCATTTAAGAAATGACTTGTCATTCTCCTGTGGTGATGGCTCTAGGTTTCAATTGCTTTACTGAAGCTTCCTTTAATTTGGTGAAACCCTCTTTTTCCCTTTCATAGTATGATAATATGCCAGGAATAACACCCTAGATGCTCAGCAAAAAGAGGCTGCTGAATGACAGAGCTCCTTGTGGGACAGTCGACTTTATCAATAGTTGTGTGACTACTAACAATCTGAAACTTGACTGTAAGTAATTATTTTATTTGGATTGTCATGCCCTGTGAGATGCCATAAAGCATGGAAAGCACTTTCATTTCCAGATTTTTACCAAATTTAATTCTGCAGAGTTCATACAG